AGCATGTATATCCACTGTGAGGTGGTGGAGACCTACAGAAAAACAGTACTAGATTCAGCAAAGCTGTAAGGTAATACCCCATACTACCAGAACTTAGAAGGATATACCCGATTTGTCCTGTAGCTAAAAATTTTCACAGGACAGAAGGAAGAAAAGAAAGAGGCACCAGCATTAGCAACATATCTATACAATATCTCTTTGAATATATTTACTTCTTTCACTGCAGTTTCAAGTTTATTGTTGTTTTCTCTCTGGAATTTTTTCTCTTTTTGTGAACAAAGAATTTTAAAGTCAGCTGCCAGCAGAACAGCAAAGTGAAATGGAAAAACAAAACAGAAACTGCTATGCTTTCATTATTTTTACATGTTTCTGTACTGGCTTTAGTGAATCTTCTTGCACCTATCTTCACCCTTTCTTCTGCTCCTTCAATTTACATTTTGTGTTATACCCTTCAGAAGCAAACAAGGTACAGAAAATTCTCATCTAAGAAAGATGGTATATTTGCAAGATTCTATTCTTGAACCTGCAGCATTTAGCAAATATTTTTCAGTGGGGTCTGGTTCAGAAATGGTTAAATTTAAAAATAAATCTTAACTTATCTTCAAAATAACCTGGAGGAATCTAAAAAATATTTTTCAGCATTAATTTTATGGTCACCTTCACTGTACATGGATGCTGTAACACAGGTCACCGAAAGGTATACAGTTACTGCTTTGGTTTCAGTCAGCATGCACAAAAACGTCTTTGCATCTGCTTTATTGACAGATCAGAAAAGAAGTTGCAAATTAGTCAGATAAAGCAGTGACAACCTGTAGTGGTGAAAACAGATGTGATCATTTTAAAAATGTGGAATAGGCAAGTTAGTTACAATAAGTAGTGACTTTCAGTTTTAAACGACAGGACACAGGCTAACAAAAATTAATTGGCTAAAATATGATGCAAAGCTTTTACAATCACTTAGAAAACTTTGTAGCATTCTACAATTTCCCTTTCTACACTCACCTTTCCAGGGAACTTAAAGGAGTCTTCTGTTAAGGCTTCTAAAAAGGAAGAATCTTAGGATTCTACAGAGATTTCTAAGTGATCATCCTTAATATAACAATTAATTAAAAAACCCTAGAGAATAATGTGCCTAGAGAACAAGGATCATGAAACCCTGCTTGATGTGTAACATTTATGAAGACATGCTGTGCTGATAAGATGAGACGACTAATATAAACTAAATATTGCCCTTGGCTATTTTCAGAGAGGTATTTGTCCAGCAAGTTTCAGCACCTTCAGATCACTTCTTAAATATCCTTCTTTTCCTAAGTGAAACATTTAACTGCTAATTAACAGTTTATTTCCAGAAATGTTATACACTTTCTTATTCCTTATAGAGAAGGCTTAAAACTCCAGAAACATTTTGTGTCCCATTTCCCTGTTTAAGGCTTTTGTGTTTAAGGGAGAAGAAGAGAATAGGCTGAATTTTTAAAGTTTGATTTTTGCCTTATTTTTTTCTAATAGACAGTATGCATGACTGCAGAACAGACAGGATCACCAATACTATAGAGGGAGAATGAAAATAAGAGGGTGTTTATTTCTAAAATCATGGTGACATCTCACAATGTGGCTAAACCAACAGAAAATTAGTCTGTGAATCAAAGAAGTACTGATTTACTGAGGGGTCAGATAAGCAGCAATACTAACATGTGGAGGGTGGCAGGAGAGTGAAGGAGAAGCTATAGCAGACCACTGAGGCTCCCTTTTCCTTTCCAGGGAAGGAAGTGCTAAACCAGCATGGTTATCTTGTCTAATCTCACTCTCAAAACTGGTATTTAAAATCTCTGTCTTTCAGCTAACAGGGGGAAGTCTCTCCCTTTCATCTCTGAGATCACCAACACCAGGAAAGAACAAGCCCTCACATATGTCTGAAGTTCAGGTACTTCCCTGACTTTTGCCAGCCCATACATTTTCTCTCCAAAATAAATCTTCATCAGACAACATAGAACCAAATAAAAGATAACAGATCAATTTATGGTCCTGCAGCTTGCATATAACACACATACAACCAAATTCCTTAACAAGCATCACTCGTTCGTGTGGAAGTACTAATCTTCTCCTTTACACACTTGCTGTTTTCCAGTGTGTCTTGCTTAACCTGAAGATTTCTATTGGCTTAAGATGCGTAAGATCTATTTCACTCTGGTAGGGGTCAGCCTGCCTGCCCAGAACAAGAAATTACCAACTGAAACATCTTTATAGACTGCATACCTTGATTCCTTAGAGCCTGTCTCCAAAGAAACTTTGCTATGATATTAGTCCATGGAATTTTAATTTCTGCTGAGTTTGCTGAAGGATGTACGTGTCCTGGGATGATCTTCTCCTTTGAAACCAGATTTCAAACCTCAGACCACTATCTCCAACATCTCTGTCATTCCACTCTGTGCTGTCTGAAAGATACAAAATGATTTGCTGTTTACTACAAACAAAGCAAACTAATTTCTACATGTCATACATCTTAACTGAGAGAGTTCAGCATCTTGATTTCTTGGTTATGAACCTGCAAGTGCTTCCAGCGGGAGCCTTGTTTTCACAAGAGTCAGCAGTTTGTGTCTGTCTTGTATGATTTCCTTCTAAAGAGTGCAGGGACACAGCAGTGTTGCTGCTAGAAGATAGCATGCATCCTCTAACGATCAGAGGATTGAAGTGAATTCAGTTAAACTGAGTCTATAACATAGGAGGTAGTAGTTGAATCACTATTCAGCTTATACCAGTTGAAGACACACCAGCTGTCATCGCATGTGCAATGTGAACTCCGGTTATGGTTCTAATTCTAGGGCTACAGCAGTTTAAACATGCACTTAAATTAAGCATATGTATCAGTATTTCGGCTATCCAGAAACAACAGTGGACATGGCTGTATTCTCAATCGAAGTGACTGCAAATTAGAACTTCATATATTCACCCCTTGTTGTCCAAATGGTAAGACTCTTAAGCATTTTGTGTTTCTTACGCACTTACGACATAGCAAAACAGAATATCCATATTTTGCTTTTTCAGACCCTCTCCAAACTTTGAAAAAAACAGCTTAAAATCTTTTCCCTAGAAAATAATAGTAAAAAATAATTTGTAGTGTAATTTACAGCTAGATGCTGGTTCATTCTCCCAACAGTGCTAAAGAGAGCACATTCCTGTTCAGGGCAGGCTACTGAGAAAGGAGCATTGAACATTATATAATTTTCCTAATAGGACAACAGGATTTAATTTACCTTGAATGACTGTTTGTACATATAGATGTCATATCCCCCATTAATCTTTCTTGTTTCGCTAAGCAAGGTAAGATCTTCAAAGAGGAACACATACCTCAAATACTTCTTTCTTCCACAGCAAACAATAAAATCATCCTGACATTGCAGTTCCCTTGGTCTTTCAAATTAACCTGTTGAGAGAAAATGACAAAGTTCTGACAGATAAGAGAAGGCTGCATTGATTTCATCATGTCTAAGGAAGGAGGAGGGGAGAGTATGTCTACTCAGAGCTGAAAGTAAGCTAAGCTACAGGGAAACATGGCATAACATTTTGAGAACATGTTACTCTCGGTGCACAGCTGCATGTGTACTGCTGATTAAAAACAGAGCAAAGTGAATCTGCTGGAACCACTTTCAGATCTATCAGATAACTGAAAGGTTCAGGTATCTCTTCATCATGCTCACATGCAATTCCAGAGCCAAACAGCATGTCTAGGCCCTCTGCTGCACACATGTCCTACAAGCAGAAGCATTTTAGGATAGGCATAGCTTCCCCCTACACACTGTTTTCGAGATTATGGTGAAGAGCACTGGGCACTCCAGGATTTTGTTCCATAACTAAGTCTTACAAGCTCCAGAGCAAGACAAATCATAGGTGTTAAAGCACTCCTTTCTGTTTCTCTTGGTGACATGCTATTTTGGAGATAAACCATGGCAGGAAAGTCAAGTGAAAGGCAAAGTAGCGGTGGAGAAATGTTTACATCACATCCTTGAATAGCATCCATAGCAAGCAGGTCGTTTCCATGCCGTAGCTGGAATTTCACCATCTCCTCAGCAGTCCTCAGATCACTGAGTTTCTGCTCCTGGGCTTTTGTGCACTCCTTGATCATATCCTTCAGTAAAAGTGCATACTTGCTCATTCTTTGAGTGGGCTTCAACAAATAGGAGGCCAAATCCATATTAGCACCCAGCTTCTGTTGCTTATTTGGCAGAACTAGCAGAAATAGGTAAGTGCTGCTAAGCTATGTTCCCCAAACAACTATAAAATCAACAAGTAATGATCACACAATTTACATGAAGTGAGGAACTAGACTGTAATTACTTTAAAGAAGGCATTTCCATGGCTGGGTAGCAAGGCGTCTGATTGTGGCTTGTTCGTGCAGTACAACGCATACATGCCAATCTGTTCTTGCTAAAAAAACAGAGAAGATGCTGTTAGTCCTTGCTACTTCTCTCCTAATCAATTCCTTTCTACCATTTGATTTATTTCAGTTAGAAGAAGCAAAAAAAAAAAAAAAAAAAAATTGTCTGCATATGGATTTAGGGACGTTGTTTCTAAACTGTAGCTGTACTGATGTTTTATCCAGCCAGACATTAGCAGGACAACCAAGGACTACATATGTAGGGAACTTAATTTTCTATAGGCATCAACCTTTCCAGATCCAACAGTCTGTAAAACCAGGCAGTTGCAGTCATAGGTATTTCATTTTTTCAGATCAAAAGCTAATACAATATCAAAATTCTTAACCAGCATGGTTACTCTTAAAAGAGTACTAACTTCCTATCTACCTGATCTAATTTCTTTAATATATGAGTACAGAAAATTCATATGAGAATGGGCTAATGTCTCATAGCATTAGCAACCTGAATGCAGCACAGACAGAAACACAGACACTTCCCTGCACAGTAGTCCCCCGGAGAGAAGATGGGATCATGCCCAAATTAAGGGCTACTAAACTTTAACAGAAGGCTCTTTTAAGCTCCCTAGAAAGGAGAAAGAATAAGAGAGAAAAAGAGACAGCTTGCCCAACATCCAGCAGGATCATGGGAAACTCTCTCGTCATCTGCTTAGAACATTGAATGAAAAAAACGTTTGAAATGTTTGTCCCCCCCATCTTGGGAAACACATGAGTATCTTCCTACCTTTAAACTAAAAATGTTCAAACATATCATCCAAAGGTAAATAAACAGATCCTCCTTTTGTAAAACAACCTCAGCAATGAAATACAGCAAGAAGGGTTTGCTTTCAAGAGACAAACACAAACAGTTTATTATCTTCCATCATCTGTTTTTCATCTATTGTGAATCCAGCTGACACCGTTGTGTCCTAAAGGTATTTGCAAGACTGAAGCATAGCTACTTGATTAGAGAATACAATCATGAAAAAATCAAAGCAAAGGATTATAGTCCTTTTCAAATAAAAAGCACAACATTTTTTGGCATCTTTCAGATCTCTAACTTCCTATGTATAATTCATTTCTCCTTCCTCCCATTAAGAAACAGCTGAAGGAGAAAAACATCATGAAAAGGTAAAGCAAAAATCTTACCTCCCCACTCAGAAATAATTTTTTGTTGTTTTTTAAATCCAGATTTTCTAAGAATAATTAAAGAGAAATTTATTTTTAAAACTGGTTCTGACCTGTGATGATTAGCTCCTGCATAAGCATTTTTACTCGCTCACGTCATCAGAGAAAACCTTTCCATTGCTCCCAATTACACTAAAGGATTATATTCTTGTCTCCCTGACCCCTATTTTGTCATTCTAGCAGAAGAACATACCAACTATTAATGCTAATGAAATCGTCTAATGAGAAAATATCATGGCTTATCTGAGCTGGGAACAGATTGCTTCAAGGCCAAAATTCAAGCATTTTTTCCATAATAGTCCCAATACAAGAAGCATTCTCTAGACTGACAGTCCTGTAGGCAGCTTCAGGAAATCGCTCCTATGACAGGGCACATTTTAGCCACTTTAAGGGCAGAAAGCATTACCCCACTCCTGATCCCAGGATAAATGACTGTTCACTCTCTGCTTAGAGACTTGCTGAGTAGTGAGACATGACTGTCTGCAATAGTTGAAAAAAACTTGATCACAGTAGGTAGGTGGGAAGATACAATTTGGAAATGTCATGCAGCAGAAAGCCTATTCTGGTTCCCTCTCCTGGCACTCACCAAACAACAAGTTCTCTGGGAAAGCCATCCAGAGGTCAGGTCTGAAGACCAGCAGTGTTATGAAGTAGTCACTGCTTATACTCACCACAACACATTGCCTGAAATCAACCATCCTATGCAGACACTGACATTCCTCCTGTCACAAGCAGAAAAACTGAGAAGAGGCATAGAACAACTCTCCTCATAGCTACTTACCAAGCATGAGCCAAGGAAGGATATGGGGAAAACAGTGTTACAAACCGTCGAAAAATAAGAAGGCAGGACAAGAGTGACATTGCTCATGTCATCAAATTGAGAAGACCTTAGCAGTTTCCTATGCCTGATGAAGTCTCACCATCTGCCTTTCTTGCTTCCCCTGTGCTCACAGAATGTTTGAGTGATTGTTAAAAACTGTCAAACATTTTTGTTGGAGATGCTTGAATATCTTTTGCATAAGCCAAAATGAAAAAAATGAATTTATCTCACTCCTCTGGAGACAAGAGGAGTCAAGGACTTGAAATCACTTTTACTTTATCTTGGAGGTATCCAGGAGTTAGCTGCTTTAGCTCTGACTTGACCACCATTATCTCATATATATCTTATCCTTAAGAAGATTACTCCAGAAGACACAAAAGTCCAAAGAAAAATTAGAACTCATTGCAGAAGGAAAACTTGACCTTGCAGCACATTTGAAGGATCTGCAGTTTGTTTTTCAGAATAAAAACATTCTTCAACATTTTATAAAACAGTCTGAATCCCCCTCACTTCTGTGCAAAGCAGTCGTAGAGTTCACCTCAGCTGTGAGAAGCCTCCTAGTCAAGAATCTCACCAAAACTGATACCTTCTGGTCAGCAGAAACCTATTAACTTTTTCAGACATCAAGGTAGTAGTCCAGACATACTGGAGAAAGCAATGGAGTGCATATTTCAGAGGAAAAATCAAACAGGCCGAAAATAAAGCTAGAGAGACAACCATAGCCACATCACAGCAACTTTGTCACTTAAAAAAAACCACTTAAACTCACCATTTACATAAAGTGGGTTGAAGCCAAACCTTTAATTGAGAATTCTCTCCTGTGTTTAATATTATAAGGAGAAAAACTTGGCTTGTTGCCAGTCTTAGAAGCACTGGTACTAGATGATTAGAAAGAGGCACAAAGTGTGGAAAGAGGAAGGATCGTGTGTTTTTCTTTTGGTGGCAAATGCAGTGTAATGAGAGGCTCCAAACTACCCAAACATGATGCTCTCAAATAGCAGGGTTGTGAACAGTACCTACAACTCCATCTTCTTGGTCAAAGGGCCTGGTTCCTTCACCAACTGAAGCTGTAACACCCAACCACTCAGTTACTTCAGAAGGTGCTACAGATTGTAACATTATCTTGTAGCAACAGAGCGAATGCGAATTCGTGACATCACAAAAGAGGCCATTAAAAGCCTTTACGTGGGTTCAGTGCCAGCTTCTGCAGATTTGGCAGTAACAGTTTTTGCTTCGATCCACTTTCTTTAAAAAAAAAAAAAAAAAAAATTGGGTGTGAGATGTGTAGATAGGAGAGAGTTGTCAAGGCAGGAAATGTTTTCGGAGAAATCACTAAATTCTTGCCTGTATCGTTCTCCTGAAAAAGAAAAGTGTTGGCACTGTTCAATCTTAAGCACATACAACTCAAAGTTAACTGTCTTCTGCAAAGGAAAACCTTAAGATTTCAGCTTGAAAAGTCAAACTGGCTGTTTCAGAACATTCATATAGCTAGTAGGCAAACAACCAGCTCTTCTTCCTAACAGAATAACCATAATTGTACTAAGAGCTAAAATAATTTTGTTCTTTAGTCCAAGCTGGAAGTGAGAAAAAGCACTGTATGCAAAATACTGAAATAAAGTATCCAAAGCATGAGCCTTTAATGCAAATGAACACCGACTTCTTGAAAGTGCTTTTGGGAAGTCAGCAAATGCTTGCCATGCAAACTAGCATACCTGCTGTAAATATTACAGTGGGCTGAAACCAGCTACCACAGTTCATTCACAGTTCCTCCAGATTCTGTCATAAATAGAATGTGCCTTTTCCTTCAGATCATCTAGAAAAGGTGTGATTATGCTTCCAGGTGACATATAGGAATAAGTACACCATTAAGGATAATTTCAGGATTGATATCTCAGAAAGAGGCACAACAGTGATTTTTCCAAACAGCTTGACGAAAGACTATTCCAATTCTCTTCCTCTGCATCATACACTGAAGATGTAGAAGAAGAACTAGAAACTGAAACCCACTTCTTTGTCAGTTCACCACAAGAGTTTTTCAGTTTTGCACATGGCCTTCAAGGCATCCTGATATCAGAAGCAAAACAATTAGATGTTTTTCTGGCCTAGTCACCATGAGAAAAATGAAGTAATAACTGAATTTCCAGATGAGATAATTCAAACAAACAAAGTTTCATTTTTCATACCATCTACTTATTTCAAAACAAATACAGTCTCAGTTACTAGGCTGTTCTTTTCCCTAACAGTACTTATGCAGATTTATTTGGACAAACCAAATACGATATCACATAAAAGTTGATGCCTTGTTTTTATCTACAGCCTCATTATGCTCTTTCACATAATGCCATCTGAATACAGGCATATAATGGCAGACAATAACTTCAAAACATGCTAGAGGAAACAAAAAGTAAAGTAGATTCAGAAAGAAAAGGGGAAAAAAAACCCTAAACATGCAACCTGAAGTCACTAGGTTTAATCCAAGACCATTTTAATGACATAAGAAGGTGAGCAACTATTTACACAAGAAAAATAAAATAGAACCCCAAGATCACATTTTTGGTAAAGATGCATATAAATTTCCGTTTATTGTGTAATGCGCATCACTAGACATTTTCAAACCTTGACTAGACAGAGCCCTGTGCAACACGATCTAGCTTTGAGATTTGCCCTCCTCTGAGGAGAACGTTGATCTAGGACCCTCAGAGGTCCCTTCCAATCTAAAATGTTCTATGATTGCATGATTCCATGCTTTCATTTTCAGATTTGTGTGACCCACTGAAATGACAGTCTAGAAAGCTGCAATCTGGCAAGAAAATGTTGTTATATGAGATGAGGTGGCTTTTACATTTTCCAGTTGGTCTTTGTAATGACATGAAAATAATTTATCTTCATAAAAAACTCATTTCCAGAAACTATCTTGCAAAGCTCAAACACACAGCTAAGGAAAACAAGACCTTTATGCTCCTACCACAGTCAAAACACTGTAAAAGCAAACAGCAAGTAGACCAGCCCTTAAGTCCTTAGCCAGGCATTTCTATATGAAAAACTATCCAGCTTCAGCAGTCTGTCTAACCTTGTAAGGGTCTCACAAATTCCAGCTGTGCCTACCCTAACAAACAAATGCTGAAGAATTCATTCTTCCTAACTCTTACAGCCTGAAAGTACTTGTAAAATAGACTCCAAATTCAAGGATCTCTGTACGTGCTTTGTTACACAGTCAAACGTTTAGGAAATGCTTAGCAAATGACTCAAATGCTTAGCAAATGACTCAAATGCTTAGCAAATGACTGATGAAGTCACAGGCATTAACCTAGATGCTATCTGTATTACTGGCTGATAAAGAAGCCAGTTGTGGCGTTGAAGCAGATGACCCCAAGAGGCCCCTTCTGACCTTTCTGTGGTTAACAGGAGCATTGTACAGCTCACTGACAGAGCTAGGAGGAGACTTGGGAGACATCATTCTTGGGAGACATCATTCTTGGGAGACAGTATCATAACTGTAATGTTCTGAATTTAAGTGCTCACTTTCTCAGGATTCTCTAAGCATAATTATTTAATTGATTTGTAAGTATAGCTAACTTTAAGAAAGTGTACTTGTGGTGGGTTAATCTTGGCTCTTGGCTGGCTGCCCTCTCACTCCCTCTCCTCAACAGGACAAGGGGCAGAAAATAAGATGAAAAAGCTTGTGGGCTGAGATAAAGACAGGGACATCACTAACTAAGTACCATCATGGTCAAAACAGACTTGGCTTGGGGAAAATGAATTTAATTTATTGCCAATTAAAAATAGAGTAGGATGGTGAGAAATAAAGACAAAACTAAAAACACCTTCCCCCACCCACTCCTTCTTCCGAGGCTCCACTTCACTCCTTCGTTCCTGACTTCTAGCTCTTCTGACCTTGAGTGACACAGGGGAGGATGGGGAATGGAGGGTTGTGGTCAGCCCGTAACAGTTTGTCTCTTCTTCCTCACACTTTTCCCCTGCTCCAGCATGGGGTCCCTCCATGGGATACAGTCCTTCACAAACTCTTCTAGCATGGGCTCTCCATGGGCTGCAGTTCTTCAAGAACTGCACCAGTGTGGGTCTTTTCCACACTGGTAGTCATTCAGGAAAAGACTGATCCAGCGTGGGTGCCCCACAGGCCACAGTTCCTGCCAGGAGATTGCTCCTCTGTGGGCTCTCCATGGGCTGCAGCTTTCTTTAGGGCACATCCCCCTGCTCCAGCGTGGGGTCATCCCCAGGCTGCAGGTGGAGATCTGCTCCACCGTGGAGCTCCTTGGGCTGCAGGACGACAGCCTGCCTCACTGTGGTCTTCATTACCACGGGCTGCAGGGGAATCTCTGCTCCGGCACCTGAAGCATCTCCTCCCCTCCTTCTGCACTGACCTTGGGGTCTGCAGGGTTGTTTCTCATACTTTTTCTCACTCCTCTTTCTCACAGCTGCTGCACAGTGGTTTTACCCTTTCTTAAATATTTTAACAGAGAGGCACCACCAACGCTGCTGATGGGCTCAGCTTTGGCCAGCAGCGGGTCCATCTTGGACCTGGCTGGAACAGGCTCTGTCCAACATGGGGACAGCTCCTGGTCTCTTCTCACAGAGGCCATCCCTGCAGCACACCTCCCCCAATACCAAAATGTTGCCATGTGAGCCCAATACAGTACTATTAACATGTAAATGCAAATTTAGGGAGAGAGGAGGAATAAATCCACCTATCAGAATAATGTAACCAGTCCTATCTTTCTTTCTGCACATAATTGCAACACTGGTTGTTAAAGTCTTCTTTCATGCAGAAAATTGAATATATAGCTACCACTGGACAGATAAATATGAGGCTATGGAACGGAATTTAGTCTAATCCATGTTCCTATTTATGCCATTTATACCTGGCTCTGATTCAAGTATGCAGGCAATTCCTATTCAGATTTGCATACCTGTTTAAAATAGCGTTATAACTCTCATGATCCCCTTTTTTGCTCCATAGCAAGACAAAGTCAGGAAGAAGAAAAAAAAGGAGTGACACGATATTTAAAACAGCAAAATATTTAGTATCTGGTTTTACTTTCTCCAAGTACCTTTGAATCGGCTTTCATTTTCTGAAAAACGTTCTTGTGCTTAAGCACGAATTAAGCTGAGAGGAAGATGGAGAAAGAACCATTTACCAAATATGCCCAAATCATAGGTAGGCTGTAAGACCAGCTTCAGTCTTAAAACTGTATATATAAAAACCATACCCGTATCATACCTCCCACTCTTTTCCAACTTAAAATCTATTGCATTTAGCGGACATCCAGAGCAGATGCATAAAAAAGTCCCCAGCTATGTGATGCTTTGTCCGTTAGGAACAAGTAACCGTGGTCAGAAGTTACATTTAGTAAGTTCACAGAGGGATAGAACATCTCGAGTTGGAAGGGACCCGTAACGATCATCGAGTCCAACACCCTGCTCTTTGCAGCCCTGCCTAAACAGCCTGCTAGGCTCGTAGTTCTCAGCTAGGCTCCAAACACCAGCACGTGGCAGAAAACGTTGCACCATTATATACTCCATTTCACAAAAAGAACAAGAACTCGGTGTCAGGGCCCTGAGTGCGCTGGCGGGCCCCCATTGCCCTGACCAGCCTCGCCTGAAGCTCTACCACACCGTCCGCCCGTGGGCCCGGCGGCTCCCTCCAGGCTCCATTTTGGGCCCTGGCTCCCTCCCTGCCGCACAGGCGTGCCTCCACACGCCTTTGTGCCTCCACCCCTGTCGATCGGGACCCCGACCTCCTGGCCAGGTCTGGACCTGACTCCCTCTATGGAGAGCCTGACGGTCTGGGCCCTTGACTGACACGGGCCGCCATCCCTGGGCCTGCCCTCCTCCCTTGCCTGGATGCTCCGGGCCGGGCCCTGGCTGGTGACACGCTCGTCCTGCCGGCCTTAGTAACGTCACGCTTGCTCCCCTGTTCCTTCAGCTGGCCCCTGAAATTTCCTGAAATCGGAAATACGGAAGGCAGATTACTTCGTCGCTAACGCATTATGGGATTTAAACACGTTGGCCAGGTAGCTTTAAAATAATTGGCAGGCACAGGACCCTAGAGGTAACACAGACTGATGGACAACAGCATGAATTTGTCACAGGTTGAGACTTGCAATTCAGATGACACAGCAGGCAACAGAAGCTGTCGTTAACTCAAAATGTCAGACGAGAAGAACACATCCTCCTTTGATAATGAGACCTAGGTGTTTGAGAAAGCGGTGGCTGACAGAGAGTGGGAAATCTCTGCAGTGCTCCGGCTCTTTCAGAAAGCGTTGGCTGCGGAAATCGGTGAGTTTCTCGAGGTTCCCAAAGATAATGCTCTTCTTCTCTCACAAACCCCGAGGTAAATAATTTTTTTTCTATTTCCGGAAAATAGTTGTTGATGATATATCCTAAGGATCTAACATACCCCCTTTCTGTTGTGATCATCTCATCCATTATAAGCTGTACTTTATTGCTGAAAGACAATTGTTTTAAAGCACTGACAGGTTATTACAAGGTGTAAACAATGAACTCTTCCTGCTTGCACACTTTCTTCACCTCTACACATATCTGATGAAAAATCACCTGCTTAGCCACCTAAGAGTTCTTTTCTCTGTCAGTTACAACTTTATGATCTACCTAAATGCAGGTGTTTTTCACAGACGAAACAGAGGACTGAAGTTGGTCTTATGAAAACTAATTATCAAAAAAAAGGAAGAAAGCAAAATGCTTCAATGTGGCTAAGGATACCATTCCATGTCAAAGACCCCATTACTGCATACAAAAAAGTGAATTTATTTCGTTCTTGCATTTAAAATGGGAAACAGAACTAAATTTCTGGGATGATAAACTATCATGCAGTCAAGTTTTCATGATTTTCCCTAACCAACATATCATCTGACACTAAGAAAGATGTTGTTAAGATTAAAGTATGTGATCTTTCTCAAACAAAGACACACTTTCAGAAAAACAACTTTTGGCTGAAGACTGTGCAGAAAAAAGCTAAGAACCAGGCAAAATGAAGGATGGTGTTGGAAAGGATGGTGTGATTTTTAGTGTACCAGATACTTAACAAGACTGAAACAAACCACATTTCATGGAGAAGACAAAATTTTCCTTGGAAAATGAAGTTGAGAAATATAAAGAAATTAAAATAAACTTTCTTTAACACTAAGGTTTTCGTTTTCTGGGAATCAAAACTATTCTAAGTCCTCGTTATACAAAGCAGAGAAAAATTATTTCAGTATTCTTGTATCGTTTCTGCTTTCCTCATAATAACAAGTCTTCAATAATTTAAACTTATAACACCTTAAAAAAACCCAACCCCAAAAAGGTTTTGGACCAATAATACAGGAACGTACTTTAATCTTAACAATAACAAATAGATTTTAAAAAACTACAAGAATATTCGTTATAACAGAAATTGCTGCTTGGTAAACCTCCAATTACAAATGCAGAGTATTTACTATTGTTCTAAGATGTAGTTGAGACAAATATCAGCAAGCAAAGGCACACATATTTACACGACTAATTTATTTTATTCTTTCATATAAGTCTTAGAGAGATCAACTATCTGTCTAATCAGTATTTCTTGCTCAATGGAAGAAATTACAACTTAATCTGATAATTTACCCAGAACTTCTAATTTTGAATCTGACTTCTATTTTTACGGTCAGGAAAATACCAAAACCCATTCCATGCCCGATGTTTGAAGGTCCCACCCCCCATTGCTCTCAGTGTAGTTTTCAGGAGTCCATTGTACAGTTCAATTTTCCTGGAGGCTGGTGCACGATACGGAATGTGATATACCCACTCAATACCATGCTCTTTGGCCCAAGTATCTACGAGGTTGTTTCCGAAATTAGTCCCATTGTCTGACTCAGTTCTTTGTGGGGTGCTATATTGCCACAAGACTTGCTTCCCAAGGCCCAGGATAGCGTTCCAGGCAGTGGTATGGGACATGCGATATGTTTCCAGCCACCTGGTTGTTGCTTCCACCATTGTAAGCACATGGCGCTTGCCTCAGCGAGTTTGCGGGAGTGTGATACAGTCAATCTACCAGGCCTCCCCATACTTATATTTCAGCTATCATCCTCCATACCACAGAGGCTTTAACCGCTTGGCTTGCTTGATTGCAGCACATTTCACATTCATGAATAGCCTGTGTGATAGTGTCTACAGACAAGTCCGCCCCTCGATCACAAGATGTATGTTGCATCTCTTTCTTGATGGCCTGAGGTGTCATGGGCCCACTGAGCTATAAATAATTCACCCTTATGTTGCCAGTCCAAATCCACCTGAGCCACTTCAATCTTGGTAGCCTGATCCACCTTCTGGTTGTTTTGATGTTCTTCGGTGGCCCGACCCTTGGGTACATGAGCATATACATGATGTACTTTTACAACCAGCTTCTTTAGCTAGGCAGCAATATCTTGCCACAATGGGGCAGCCCAGATGGGTTTACTTCTGCGCTGCCAGTTGCTCTGCTTCCATTGCTGTAACCACCCCCACAGGGCATTTGCCACCATCCACGAGTCAGTACGAAGATAGAGCACTGGCCACTTTTCTCAATCAGCAATATCTAAAGCCAGCTGGATGGCTTTCACTTCTGCAAACTAGCTCGATTCACCTTCTCTTTCAACAGCTTCTGTGACTTATATAGGACTCCATACAGCAGCATTCCACCTCTGATGTTGTCCCACAATGTGACAAGACCCATCAGTGAATAGGGCATATTGCTTCTCATTTTCTGGCAGTTTATTACATGGTGGGGGTTCTTCAGCACGTGTCACCTCCTCCTCTGGTGACATTCCAAAATCTTTGCCTTCTGGCCAGTCCCTGATCACTTCCAAAATTCCTGGGTGACTGGGGTTTCCTATGTGAGCTCATTGTGTGATCAGTGCCACCCACTTACTCCCCGTGGCATCAGTTGCATGATGTGAGAGGAGACCCTCTCTTTGAACATTCAGCTCAGCACTGGCAGTCAGGGTGCTAAGAGGAGCTGTATTTCAGCACCAGCCACTTCTGAGGCAGCTTGAACTCCTTCATATGCTGCCAATATCTCTTTTTCAGTTGGAGTATGGCAAGCCTTGGAGCCTCGATATCCCTGACTCCAAAACCCCAGGGGTCAGCCTCAGGTCTACGCCGGTGCTTTTTGCCAGAGACTCCAGGTAGGGCCATTCTCCCCTGCTGCGATATGGAGCACATTTTTAACATCTTGTCCTGCCTGGACTGGGCCAAGGGCTACTGCATGAACAATCTCCCGTTTAATTTGTTCAAAGGCTTGTCATTGTTCAGGGCCCCATTTGAAATCGTTTTTCTTCTGAGTCACTTGACAGAGAAGGCTTATAATCAGACTGTAATTTGGAATATGCATTCTCCAAAACCCCACAATGCCTAAGAAAGCTTCTGTCTCCTTTTTGCTAGTTGGTGGAGACATGCTATTTTGTTGATCACATCCATCCATTGGCATCTGATGATGCCTGTCTTGCCATTTTATTCCTAAAAACTGGATCTCCTGTGCAGGTCCCTTGACCTTACTTTGGTTTATGGCAAAACTGGCTTCCAGAAGGACTTGGACAATTTTCTTCCCTTTCTCACAAGCTTCTTTTGCTGTGTAGCCCCATATGATGACATCATCAATGTATTGTAAGTGTTCTGGAGCTTCACCCTTTTCCAGTGCAGTCTGGATCAGTCCATGGCAAATGGTGGGGCTGTGTTTTCACCCCCAGGGCAGTCGATTCCAGGTGTACTGGACACCCCTCCAAGTGAAAGCGAAGTGTAGCTGGCACTCTGCTGCCAGAGGGATTGAGAAAAACACATTAGCAATGTCAGTTGTGATGTACTGCTTGGCTGTTTTTGACTCCAGTTCATATTGAAGTTCTAACATGTCTAGCACAGCAGCACTCAGCGGTGACGTGACTTCATTCAGGCCACAATAGTCAACTGTTAGTCTCCACTTTCCATTAGACTTTCATACTGGCCATATGGGGCTGTTAAAGGGTGAGCGATCACCCCTTGGCTCTCCAGTCGATGACTCAGCTTATGGATGGGAATCAGAGAGTCTTGGTGCGATATTGCTGCTGGTGCACCGTCATGGTAGCAATTGGCAGCTGTTGTTCTTCAACCCTCAGCAACCCCACAACGGAAGGGTCCTCCGAGAGACCAGGCAAGGTGGAAAGCTGTTCTTTTTCCTCCGTCTGCAAGACAGCTATACCAAAGGGCCACTTGTACCCTTTGGGGTCCTTGAAATACCCTCTCCTGAGGTAGTCTATGCCAAGGATGCACAGGGCCTCTGGGCCAGTCACAATGGGGTGTTCATGGCACTCATTCCCCGTTAGACTCACTTCAGCTTCCAATACAGTCAGCTGGTGGGATTCCCCTGTCACACCAGAAATACAGATGGGTTCTGCCCCTTTATACCTTGACGGCCCTAGGGTACATTGTGCACCGGTGTCCACTAGAGCCTTATACTCCTGTGGGTCAGACGTGCCAGGCCATCGAATCTACACAGTCCAATGAACTCGGTCGTCCCTTTCCTCCACCTGGCTGGAGGCAGGGCCCCTCTAATCCAGGTCATAGTATTCATTACTCACTTTTTGTAAATGTGAATCAAAAGTCCCTTCAGGAGGATCAGAAATGAGATCAGCCCTCTACTCTGTCTGAGGAATTGCCTGCTGGAAATTGGAGCAGCATTTTTCCAGGAGGAACCCCCTTTTGTGGTTGTTTTTTCTTCACAACTCATGTGCCTGTGCATCTAGGGTTGAGGTAGGTTTTTCCATCCTACTTCCTCATGTCCTCACCATGGTCACGCAGGTAAAACCACAGGGTACCCCATGGTGTGTACCTTCTATCATCTCCTCTCTTGAGCAGAGGAACGCTCACTCCTAACAGCTGAGATAGATAGGGGCCTGTACAGCTGGGGAGTAGGACATATCCTCTCTGAATTGCTGGAACTCCCAGGACAGCTTCTCCACAGCCGAGACGCAGGCCTGTAGGGAGGAAGAGAGATTTCTTTCGTATTGCTGGAGTCAGCCAGCCACTTCATCCACCATTTGTCCCTCGCCTTCTTTCCAGGACATCACTGCCAATGAGCTGGCATACAACGCTGGTGCACTTAGTAGAACCTTCTGCCATGTGGGTTGTGTGCATTAGATTTCATCTGGATCTGTGGGTAACTGCTCGTTAGCCGGATCATTATAAATCACCTCCAGCATGGCTAATTCCCTCAGGTACTGGATACCTCTCTCCATAGTGGTCCACTTGCCTGGGTGACACATAACATCTTCCTTGAAGGGGTACCTTTTCTTCACGCCTGACAGAAGTCACCTCCAGAGGCTGAGGAGTTGTGTCTTTTTTCCAATTGCTTTCTCAATGCCCCCTTACCTAGACAAGGATCCCACCTGCTTGGCTTCCCTACCCTGTAATTCCAGACTACTGGCCCTGTTATCCCAGCA